TCTCTCTCTCTTCTCTCCCGCTCTCTTCCCCCCTCTATCTCTTTTTTCTCTCTCTCTCTCACGCGGGCTCGCGCACACAGGCCGCCTACCAGTGATCATGATCTAATCAGGAGTCTATCAATAATTGATAGACTCCTGATCTAATCGCAGACCGCCACGCATGCCTTCTCGCAGCTCTCTCATCCTCCCCACTAACCCTCGCCTTTTAGCAGCCACAGCTTCACATAACACCCCGGCCGCTGTTCGTTACTCGTTGCCGGAAAACCGCGTGCGTATTATATCGTCTGCTACGGCCGCGTCACGTGCGTCATGACGTTGCAGCGCAGCCGCCGGTGCCGAGCTGAGCGAGAGTCTATGGGCAGTGTTTCTACGACGCTCGTGACCGCGTGCATGCAGTGGTAGGAGCGTAAGAACGGACGCTGGCACGTGAGCACGTGGAAGCGCAGACTGTCCATCCTGTAAGGCATCAAGGTAAGACTTGGCTGGACCTTACATCGAGGATTGGATCCTTGGCGTGATGGTGTGGCTTTTGCGAGCTTTTCTGGGTTGGGCCTGCTTAAACTGGTACGTGCACTATATGGGTGGGGCTAGGTTATACGTACGCGGGTAGGGTTCGGGTGGTGTTGGCGATGTGTGCTTATTATTATGATGGAGATGAACGGTGGGTCTTTTAATTAGCAGCTGTTTATGGAAATACGTGTAATTTTAGTAATAAACATCATCCTATCCTCTCACCGTCCTGGACATCATCTCTATCCTTGAACCGCTATGGCCGTCATCGCATTACGTAACGAATTAAGGGGAATAATATCAGGGGGATAATAACAATAGCGTATGTTAAGTATATTTAATACGCTCTTGATAATATGTGGCAATAAAAAGCGATGTGTAACAGTAATACTGCACACTAGGATTGCGCCACAGGGCATGAGTCATGCTGGTCATCGCTATATATGCGTGCAAATAATATCAAAAGCTAATAAACACCAATTTATTAGCTCTTGATATTATATAGTGTATATAGTTAGCTATAGTATACTATAGTGTATAGTGTGATCAGGAAGGCGATGATCGATGTATCAGGGACTCTGTGTGTTGGTATATATACACAGGGTATAACCATGATGAGAGTTGTGTAACGAGAGACGTGGAAATTACCATCTAACACGTCTAGCATAACTTACTCCAATAAGTCAGTCAGCAGCTGTTGCTATCGGAACTATAACTGCCTCGGTTCTGCGAAGATACGAAGCGAATGCGTGCACGTGATCAGGGAGTTTAGTCAGAACGTATATAAGTATAAGATACAAGGTGGCCGTATAAGGTATCATGCACGCACGCACGCATGTACGCACGCGCGCATGCACGGGACTTGCAAATAAAAGGGGAGAATCGGCACTGGGCCAATTCGAAATAAAAACATTTAGTGAAAATGCCAACTATGTGCGTCTGTAACGCTTTTCGCTGGCTCGCTGTCTCGCTCTCGGTTCGCTTTCGCTGTTTGTTTTAGTTAAGGGCCGCAGCAGTATTTCAAACATGTAGCATTCCTGTGAGAGAGGAGAAAATAGGACCTGTATGGATGCAGAGCGGAGAGAACGCGCGTTTTGGGCAAGACGTACATATACTCACGGGCGCAGAGAGGGAGAGAGAGAGAGAGAGAGAGAGAAAGAGAGAGAGAGCCCGGAGAGAGAGAGAGGGGGTGGGGCGTGACTGCGGGGGACGAGGCGTGTTAGATACAATAACGTAACCGAAACACAGGGGTAGAGGACCCAACTACCCCTGTGTTTGGGTTACATTATTGTATCTAGAGGCGTGTATCCAGACTCGACGATATCGGGACGGTTTCCTTTCTCGATTCGCGCGAGAACAAGAAATTGGTGTTGGCGGGCTTCGACTCGGAGTAAAAAAAAACGCAAAAACTCCTAGCCAACCCGGGGTGCGCACAGATGGCGCGAGGCACGAGGCGATGACAGCGCCCCCCCCCCCGCCGGCAGCAGTAACATATGCGATCGGCTGCACTTTTGTTTACTCGAGTGACTCACGTGACTCGACTCGATTTCACACCTAAATGAACTGCTGACAAGAGGCTGCTTCGTGGTTGCTGCATGATGCTGTACTGTAGAGCTTCGGGAGTAAAGGGGTGAGCGCACGTACTCGGCCCGTGACTGTGATTGCCTCTGTATAAGGAACAAGAACGAACTCAGGAGAGAAACGCAACGTTATAACTATATATATACGTAGTCCAATCTCACCACAGAAATGAAAATTGCTCTCTTATTTGTTATAGCGGCGCAATTTAATCAAAAGCCAGTGGTCACGTGATCTCTGTTGTGAGAATTGTAATGTATGTAGTCAACACCGCGTTCGTACGAAGCGCCATCTATCACAGTTCTGTACAGTCGCCATGCGGTTGACGTGCCTACTCCTGCACTACATCTACATACTCTACAGTTGCTGTATCAGATCGTTCACTATGTGCAAGACAAAGGACACATGGAGAACTCGGGCGCGCACGCCAGTTGAATCGGCTCCTGCCGGTGTGTCGGCTAATTTCAGTACCTCACAGCAATAATAACTCTGCCATACGCTGTCTTTTCCTGTTGACTATATCTACTATACTCGGCTTGTACGCCGGCGTAACGCATATATGAGTAAACACTGTCCCGCCCAGATGGATGCTCTCAATAAGTAGGTCACATCCTCTTCTCAGATGAGATGGCCTTAAACTGGGATGGGTATTATCTGGAAATCTAGAACCCTGAGTCTTGACACAACTGCCGCGTCCTTAGTTTCACTCCTTATACTGCGATTTTATTCTCATTTTATGCGTCATTAAAACGCGTTACGAGAGAATTGTCTGATGCATGCAGGCGAAGCAGTAGACTAACGAAACATTGGCGGTCAAATCCCCTGGATGGTGACGTAACATATTATTACCCTATATTTATAGATTACCTTAGCTTGCTTAAATTGAGTGTTTAAGTATTAGCGGTCGTATATAATGGAATACTCTTGAATAATATTTTCTAAATAAATTTTAAAACAATCACGATTATTGTCCCCACCATATATATATGCGATTATGCATGATAGCATGTATATTCGTTATATCAGGAGCGTATAATGACAAATACAAATTTGTCATTATACACTCCTGGTTATATATATAACGGAAAGTATTAAGAGCAAAAATATGCCATTACGCGTAGTGGAATATTTTTATGATATGTTTTATATATAGTATTATTATGATGTATTAGTTCTATCACGCATAACCGTTGCTCATACGAGCTTACGTGATGCCCGAATTTATAATTACGAATATCATTAAACTTCTTGCATTCTGTGCTCGCGCATTTCAGATATAGAGTTAATAGATATAGATAGTAGATATAGATTTGACTCGTACGTAATAGAGGGCTCGCGGAAATACACTGATCCCCCAAGATCCCCATAACTCCCAACATGCGATCCTGGCCCGCATCAGTACTTATGATGAACTCCAGCTGGTTTAGAGACTGGTTCTGTCGTAATTGCCCGCATTAGCAATCCACGAACAGCTAGTTGTAGTACAGCTGCTCTATAAGACATTCATACGTAATATATATATATATATATATTTATATATATATATTATACCAGCACCACCGGCGGGGTATAGGTGCGCTTTATATGCTCTCTCGGAGGGCTGATTTTAGTGGTTCATATAGTTAATTTTATCATCTAATAAGCACTAAAGTTATGAAACTATAAGTAAATAACGTTTTTAAATGCTCATGGACTGCTTAATTCGCGGCGTTTACTTGTTTCTGATATTGATTCGTGAACAGTGACGGGGGACGACTAAGCGTGGCAGGGCCCTCATAGATCCGCCAGTAGCTTCGGACATGCATGGTCAGCAGCGGTGCGTGACCTCTACGGACGGCTTAAGACCACTTAGTTCTTAACCGTGTGTACATAAATACTACCGCAGCTGGTGTCCGGGCGGGCGGGGGCGGGTGTGGGTCTCTCCCCGGCCGCTTACTACGACCACTGCCCCCGTCAGCTGAACGAAGTGGGCATCGCTGCGCCTGTTATATGGTATCGAGAATCCGTAATAGAAGATTCCATCCAAGTCTTCCATTCAATTCATGCATTCATCTTTCTTTCATTCATTCATCTTCCATTCAAGAGTCCAAAATAATCGTCTATTATGGACTCTTTATGGTTTCTATCAGGGTGCCACGCGGGGAAGTTTAAGATGAAGATTGAATGATACGTATAAGGCTCTGCACACAGCCAGGGACACTTGAGGGTGAGAATGAATGACATGTTAGGGTGTGTGCACAGGCAGGGAGTATATATATATAGGCGACATGCTTTCCTACTTTTCTCTCACGCCGGTTTATATCATATCATAATATACACGGCGGAACGCGCGCTGCGGGAGGACTGCTGTTTGTGGTGCGAATGTAGGGGTGGTGGTCGTTGCCGGGAAGTTTCCCCGCGTACAGGCACTTAGACCGTTTCAATAATGATATGACTGTAAAGTAACACGAATTGTATTCACTACCAAAGTCTCAATGTTCATGTATTCTCTATCGCCTGTAATAATTTCACATAAATGCCGTACAAATGCATCTCTGCAACACACAATTTCACGGTACGCACTGTGCACAAACTCACAGAGAGATAGATCTTTTTGACGGAAAGGACTCCATCATTCTGTAGAATGAACTGTGTATCCGCGTGCATCCACGTTGAGTTGCAATGCTCAGTGTCCTACTGCGGCGTGTTTGTTTTTCGCGCCGAATTATCTTCGTTTTCAGAAACAACAAATCAGCGAAATGTAAACGAAAAAAAGATTTAAAAAAACGAATCCGAGCAGGTCATCGCGAGGTTTACAAGTAGCTGATTATCGCGTGTTCTTTATCAATCAATCTATCTATTTGTCCATCCATCCATCCATCCATCCATCCATCCATCCGTCCGTCCGTCCGTCCGTCCGTCCATCCATCCATCCATCCATTCATCCATCTACCTATCTACCTAACCACATACCTCCATTCTCTCTCGTGCCCCCTCTTTCTCTCTCTCTCTCTCTCTCTCTCTCTCTCTCTCTCTCTCTCTCTCTCTCTCTCTCTCTCTCTCTCTCTCTCTCTCTCTCTCTCTCGTCTCTCTCTCTCTCTCTATATATATATATATATATATATATATTTGCGTGTGTGCGAGTGTGCGTACGGGCGGGCGTGTGTATGCGTGTGTCTTACGTGGTGTGACATCGGCCCGTCATCGTGAATCTAAATTTAGCGTCGACTCAGCAGAAGATACGTGTACGTGCGCTGCTAATCATGCTGGAGCGACTTTAAAAAAAAAGAAATCGCAAACTAATCCAATGGGAGAATTAGAGAGTGAGTGTGAGAGAGAGGGAGAGAGAGGGCAAGAAACAGAGAGCGACACAGCGAAAGAGAGAGAGAGAGAGAGAGAGAGAG